AGTTTGATTGTTTCCGCAATCTCTGCATCAAGGTCCTTGCAGATTGTTGGTTGTGTATTTTTTACCTGCTGTGGTTTTGAGGGAGAACTTTCTGGAAGTCAGTGTTAAGAGAGTCTGCACCCCATTTGGTGGCCACCAGCAAATGTCATCAAAATATTTCCTACTTTGCAATTGGGAAGACAGTGGATTGGCATCTGTAAGACAAACATGTCACGTCTCTTATCCTGTGCCCCTCTGGGTCTATGGAAAGCTGCCTGTATTTCTTAAAATGTTCTACGTGTAGTTACAAGCCAGTCTTGGGACTTTGAAACTGTGAAGAAAGTTAATTTGTGAACTCTCACTGTTCAGAGTACTTGAGTGCAACTGATTGTCATTTCTGAAAAGCTTTACATTAGCAGAAGCAGCATTTTATCTTTTTAAAAGGAAATGTATTTTTAAAATAGACACTTTACCAGAAACCAGACTTTAATGGTTCTATAACCTAAACTGGAAGTATTCTTTAGTATGGGGACTACCACTACCAATGTGTAGTCTTACACATTTTATTTCTTTTTTCATTTTGACCAGTGTGCATTTTCAAGGAAAACACACAGCTTTACCAGTCACACTAAAACCTAATTTACAGAGGGAGGAAGAGTGGGCACTAGAGGCTAATCAGAAATTAATTCCTTTTTCCCCAAGGCGTGAACTGGTTCTAGAGGCCTCCTTTGTTTATGTGCATGTGCATCTGTGCAGAGAGCCAAGCAGCGTCCCCTCGTGTTATTTTGCTTCAGCTTTGCCAGAGCTGTACCTTATGACAAGGGAATGCTGCTGCCTGAATGCCAGGCAGCCACCGTCAGCTGACGTGTCGCTTACTCCTAAAGATCACCAGCAGTAATGTAGCTTTAATGAAAACCTTCTCTCTGAGAAAACTCACCCTCCTTAACCTGACTGATTTGTTACAAACCTGTCAAACGTAGCCAAATCTAATGCGTAATAACACTGTACACAGGGTATGCATTTACTGGGCATGTGTATATATTTTTGTACGTTTTTACGATTATTTCCTACACTTGATTTTATGATGTTCAGAAGAGATGCATCTGAATCTGGTTAAAAACAAGAAGCTATTCAGAAAAACCCAAACCTGTCACCTACTGTAGTTTCTACTAAGATCTGTGCCCAAACAAATACGCAGATTTATAGTGCTATGCAAATACTACTTTGTAAGTTGTCTCTTAAATTTTGCTGAAGTAGTTCACGCTGTTTTTACTGGGCTTTCAGAGAAAGACTAATGCAAAAGACTCACCTTGTGAAATAAAATAGCTTTGGCTGTGTGAAAGTGCTGTATATTAGAATCTCATTCACGCTTTCAGTTGCTCATTTTAACTGTATGGGATTTTGTATGTAATATGCTGGCATAGAGGGTTTTTTAATGGTGCCTGAATAAGAAAGGGTGACTGCCCAGCATCTGGGTGTTTTGCACTGTTACCAATTATGTGCTGTAACTGGGAGATCTGCATCCTTTTCCTGTTTGACATTCTGGTCTTTGTAACTAAACATGCACTAAGGGCTGTTGTCTTTTTGCTTTTGTTTCCATTTATGCTTTTTGGTCTGTCCTGCAAACTGATCTGTGTGAGGGGCACATCTGCAGCAATAATCTGGATGGGCTGTTCTGTGGGGGCTGCAAGTAAAGAACAAGCTGAACCCCATGTCCATTCCCAGTCATTGAGCCACTTACTGAGAGCTGCAGAGGGATGGTACGTTGCCATACCGTTTGTAGAAGTTTCACATAGCTCCTCCAAATGACCGTGGATGGTGGGGAGGGATGTTCCTTTCTGGAAGAGTCCTCTGAAGTAAACCCAAAGCTGTATGGTCTGAAATGTTGAGACTCCAGCAGGGTAAGCTGGTTGTATGGGTTATTAAACTGTAGATTAAACCACTTTTCAAAATCTGACATCTTTTAAGCTTCTGTTATTCACTGGAAGATGAACACCTTGCCCCTTCCTCAGCTGTATGCCAACATCATGCACTCCTACCTACTAGAGCAAAACAAGACATACTGGAAGTTCATTTAGCATTTTTGCTCCCTTCCCCATACCTTTATGAGAAGGCTGCCCAGCAGAAGTGGATCGCTACAGTTCCTACCCCTAGTATAACCCTGGCCTGCCTCTGTGCCTGCTTGGTCCCCTAAGACATCAGCTCTGCTTTGGGACGTTTGTGCCTGTAACAAGTGACGGACGTGATAACACTATGTTCCTGTCATCTTTTTGCTAGAGTGCAAGCACTGAGTTCTTAGTTTCTCCTGTAGGTTTTTCTGTGATCCTTTGCTCCTTTGAATATTCCATGTTGTGCTGAAGCACCTTAAAGACCTTTTTGTGGAGAGGGTGGGCTCCAATTTCAAGAGTATGCACACAGAAGGTTCCTTTCTGTGACTTTGCACAAACACGGCTTTTCTTCTCTCTATGCCACCACTGAGACTCCTCAGACTCACTTCATTTTTAAAGGATGAAGATTTTGACCTGGAATTTTTAATGCTTTGTTCCAGGACTACTATTTAAGCTTTAAAGTGAGAAATATGAGTCAAAGTTTTTACTAGTACAGAATATGAAGAATTAATTGTATTAAGATGGTATGATCCTTAGTACATGCATGCAGAAGCCAAGCCATGAAAAGCAAAGCCACAGCTGGTCCTGGAGCAATGTGCTGTCTTGCCATGCACTGCTAAAAAAACATCACTGTTGTCAGTTCTTGTCCCCAGAAGTACCTATTTTCTCTCACTGCCTATCCACTCTGCCCTTCTGCAAGTCCTCTTTCCTGAGCTGCTTTGTCTTGGTGAACCAGCCAGTGACAGACATCACAACCCCACATACTGGAGGAGCAGAAGCGGTCACCAGTAGGAGGTAGAGGCAAGGGTAGGTGAACGGGGCAGCATGTCACCACAGTATTTGATGGCCAGCACTGTGAGGTAGCTGTGGAAATGAAAATGCTTGCCAGCTGGATGAAGGCGCAAGGAATGTTGTTGGGTGGTTGGTTTCTGTACAAAGCAATCCATATAGCTGTGACCTTTAAGTTGTGGGAGCTTCTTATACAACTTCTCTTTAAACTGCAGACACAGTAGGAAGTTCACTGTGGTGGTGGTGGCACTTCGTAGGGCTAGCTCTTCTGGATTCCTTAATCTCACTTAGTCCACCCTTTTGCAATAAAAGTTCCAATACTGCATTAATACATTTGGGAAGACAGCCTGTACATCTAAAACTGTAATCTGTTCCCGAGAGGCTTGTTAGACTGAATGCATCTTTGAAACAAAACTTTATGTAAATATAACATTTTTTTTTATAGGTAAATATAAGCTTAATAACACTGTTACGAGTTAATTAAATACCCTTCTGGATTTTGCTACTCTATGGATTCACATCCATGAACATATATATATATGTGTGTGTCTGTCTATGTCAGAGTCCAATACGGTTTGACTGGGTTGTTTTAGATACCCACATGTGGAGGGTGTAATGTTTAATTCCCACTATGGTGGTCTGCCTGACTCTGGAAGATGTTTACACCATGGGTTGATCCACTCAACTGTTCATAGCTCTTCATCTAAAACAAAGGTCACCCTTCAATTCTGTTTCTGTTGAGCTGAAGTCAGCTTGCTTTGCAGCAGCTGTGATCAGTCAGTATTCAATGAGCTTCACAGGCATGCCCCCCTTACCAATCTCCACCCAGCTGCCTTCCCTTCAAAGGGGTTTATTGGTCAGCTACGATAACATCATCTCAATATACGATATATGGTATGATAACAATATATTACATTATCTATATATAAAAATCCCCATAATGCTGAGACAAGGGGAAGCACAAAATTACAAAATGGAATATATAAACCTTTAGAATCAGTTTTAAGTAATGTTAATTTTGATGGCTTTGTAACAGTAGCAATGGAAAATCACTGAGGTGCATAATACACAGAAAAAAAAGTAGAGTACAGCTAGAGAGCATACTGAGAATTCTTGTACAAGATAAACCGTTGTAGTTGACATAGTTTTAAGAAAAACAGTCTAGAAGAACAGGACACAGGGATAAGGAGTTATCTGCGAATGGCAGGTGTCCAGGATGGGCTGCAGTTAAACCAGCTCATAAGTAGGAGGACAGGAGGATTATTATGTCTCTGGTGCTAACGAACCAATTAAGCTGGTATGAGCATCTACTGCGTGTGCTTCAAAGGCTGCCAAAAGTGATGAAGATTGTTGGGAGAAGTCAACGACCCTCAGAGACCACCACCACAATTCTGTACACATGCGGGAACTTTCTGGAAAAGGATGTAATCCATACGTAGCCTCATGAATATGTATGTATGCCCAGTGGCTGTAGAAGGGCAGCTTGTGTAGCAATACAGTGACACGTTAGGAGGAGCTATTCCCCGTGTCTCCCGGCGCCGCATTACCTGCTTGTCAGCTTGAAAACTTTGTTGGCAAGTTTGTTCCTGGAGTTTTCTCCGAATCAATGCCAACATTGTTGTGTTCCTGCTGTGATGAAGGCACGTGCCAAAGGGGCAGGATTGGTGAGCTGGCTTGAGCTGCGCCACCTGAGGCAGCATGGCTGCAGCAGACATTCCTGCTCACTGCCTGAAAGGCAAAGCATGTTGCTCCCCAAGGCATTTGCTAGAAAGCAAACTACCAAGAGGAGATACCAGGTTGTTGTCTGTAGTAAATGCCTCTGCACAGGCACTGACGCATAACTGGAAGGATATAATGTGCAGGTTTCCGGGGGATTGACTGCGAAGAACATGGTACAGAGCACATTTGACTCTGATGACAGGTTATTTTTTTTAATTCACTGGCACTTATGATGTGAACTGCCTTTATTTTCATCTTGCTGATGTAGGTCAACTTTTGCAAAAGCTGAATTCAGCAGTGGCCTAGTTGTGACTTCTCTTTTATTTATTTCTCCAATGAATTTACAAGTGGCTATGAACTAGTGGCTGCTTCATTTATGAGGAAAATCAGTGTAACAAAGTAGGGTTTAAGAACATGTATAAATCTCCCACCTTGGCTGCAATGAATTACAAACTACAGGTGTTTTCAGGAAAATGTTATTTCTTCTGTGCTTCCCAACAGCTCAAAGCTCCTTGTCAAAGGTAAGAGAGTGCTACACGCTCCTTTTTTCCTATCTTTTAAATCAGCTGTAGCAATGTTATATGTCAAGATTAGGGCTGGAAGATCATCTTTCAATTGTAGACCTTTACCATGCAAAACCACCCAACTACACTGTTGCAGGCTGCTTCTCTCAGTCCATGAAGGCTCTCATGGCAGTGGTTTGGGCTCTCCCCTGGCATTTGTGTTTCCCCATCACTCTGGGAAGTGTGAGCTCTTTCATGGTGGTTTCTAGAAAGAAGAACAATGCTGCACTTTATTCCATCTGACCAAAGCTCTCCACTTTATAATCCAGCCAGGCACTGCTCATGAAGCAGAATGGAGCCCTGCAGCTTGTTTGTCATCGGACATTTTCATTTATGTGGTGACATTTAAGACAATGAGTTTACTTAAGGAGGAAATTCTTTCCTGTTAGGGTGGTGAGGCACTGGAATGGGTTGCCCAGGGAGGTTGTGAATGCTCCATCCCTGGCAGTGTTCAAGGCCAGGTTGGACAAAGCCTTGGGTGATATGGTCTAGTGTGAGGTGTCCCTGCCCATGGCAGGGGGTTGGAACTTGATGATCTTAAGGTCCTTTCCAACCCCAACTATTCTATGATTCTACTTGACCTTAAGCCTGTTCAGACCATTGCGGTGACTGGGGTGTGTATTTGTGCGTTGCTTACTCTCGTTGCTAGCAGGGAGGTTCACAGCAAGACTCACTGAGTGAACATGATCCAAGAGTTTGCCTGGCAAATCCTGTATTTCTTATCTGATTAATTCAGTGGTTCACTAAAGGATGGAGAAGACCTTCTCAAACTGCTAAGAAATGCTTCCTTGAAAGGGCTTTTGAATAACCTGCATCTGTGAGGGGCTGACAAGACATAACCATGTGGTGCAGAATGGAACCCAGTATTTTTGAGGAGGGAAATTTGCTCAGACCAGGGTTAGTTCCTTGTCAGATGGGAATGAACAAATGTCATTCTCACCACTGCCCCCAGCCCAGAACCGCAGCAACCTGAAAACTTGTTACTTCCTGAGCCTATGCACTCTTTTGCTGGCAGCCATACAAGAAAGCAGTTGGCCTATCTAAATTAAGTGCCACGCATAATGGAATATCAATCACTGCTGTTAACTCCAAAGCGATAACGTGGTTAGGGAGAACAAATTGCACTGAGGTAATTTTTCTTTTTTTTTTTTTACTCTCAAAGCAATCTCTCAGTGCAGCAACCTCTGGAGCTAATATTAGGTCTGGGAATTTCACAGGCACTAATAGGATTAGGTACAACTTCCTTTTCAGTGTGATGGGAGTCAAGTGTTTAATTCCCTTGGGCTTCTCTGAGATTTCAGCACAGATTCAGAAGTGGCACCCAAACCATCAGTACACCCAGACCTCCTCTTGACTGTCCCCCAGGCAAGGATAGAATTGCTAATCCACCATCAGAAGGGTAAATGGCCTTTCCAAGGAAAAGCACTTGGTGTGCAACCTGTGACAAAACAGTTTGTGCTCCAACTCAAAATGTAAAACAAAATATCATAACTTCATATAGTACCTTTTCAGAATATGAAATAATAGAATTGTGCTCTTTCACTCACAAGAGGAAACCTGTTCTTATTTACCAACAACTCATTTGGGGCATGGGATGGGGGATGTCAAGTTAAGTCCTACTCAGCTTCAGTTTGGTGTTTATGGCAAGGTTCATGGTGCCTTTCCATCTTCAGGAGCAGCTGAGAAATACTAATGGAGTGTTAAAAGTAGTGAAGACCTGCTTGCAGTGCTGCTAGAGGGCTCTGGATGTAAGTAGCATCATCTGTTAGAAATATTTACTGTTAATTATTTGGGGGGCAGTGCTGGTCAGAGCAAGAATTGATGAGAGATCTCATTGTCCCTTCTCTCCTATCTGTCAATGGTATCTTTTGTTTATTACAGCTGCCTTAGCTTTATTACTAAGAGGGTCAATGTCTAATAGGATCAAATCCTGAAATAGAAACCTGTGACAGAAAAAGCCTGTGCTGCCTGGATGCCTTTATGATAAAACATACTGTTGTGTCGCTGGTTGCTTAGTCCTCCTTCTCTGTGAAATCACATATGCACTGAAAGTAAGAGGTGTCAGTTGCCAGTTTAACCCTCTGTGAGGATCACTGCTATCATGGCATTTAGGGTACAAGGCTTTCAAAAATGAAGGCTAGTGCTAACAGAGCATCTTACCATTTGATGGTGGTGTAAGAGAAAAAGTCTCCTCTTAATGGGACTCACTCTCCACACTCCACTCCTGCTACTATGCATAAAAGCATCTGACATCTTCATAACAACATCCCAGTGCATGCATAAAAGCTGTCCTCTCTATCCAAACTCAAGATGATGAGTTTGGTTATACCTGTCATGTCACTGCAGAATGCAAGAAAAGAAATAGGACTCTAAAGTGGAGGATTCTTATCTGAATATTTACTTCTAGGCTTATGATGGCTTTCTGAGCCTCCTCTTCAGATTTCATTATTCCTGTAGTATTTCCATTTGTCACCCAGGGACAACCTGCGTAAGGTAAGCTTGTAAGGGAATCTCATTTCTAATTAATATGGTATTTTACTTAATAACTAATAGCTTTTGACATGGTAATTTTGAAATGAGCTTTCCCTTGATGAATTCAGAGAAGAGTATTTAAATAATGGTTCCCTCCTCTCCTCTTCCCATCAATTTTTAATTAAACCTTGGATGTGTGAGCTCTTCCCCAGGCTGGTACAATGGACAAGCAGAGATCTTTATTGCCTAAAAAATCAAATTACAAACTTTATGGTCTAGCCCTTACCAATTTCACTCATGCTCTTCAGAAGCTAGTCCTAAGCAGGAGCATAAATGAAGGAACAGCCCAGAACTACTCTGTTACAATATGTCTGTAAACCTATGCAAAACCATAATTAGCTGGTTAAGTTTATTTTATTAATGTTTCCCACAATGTGTTTTCTAAAGGGACTTCTAGAAATTACCACACGTGTACTTCTAAAGTGTATGAAGTGAAAATGAATAGAGTCGTGAATATATGCTGAAGGAAAGGGTTGTCTTTTGCCTGGTCTGTACAGCCTCCAGCTAAGGGTATAACAAGTGCATGAACTGCAGTGTGTGGCTGCTAAAGCAACTTAAGTAACAGTGATTTTCCTCCTGAGCTATGAACTCAGTTGGCTGTGATATGGGTTAAATAAATCCTGGTCTATCTCTGCACTCATGGCAGGTCAGAACAGGTTGCACATTTCTAGCAATGCAGTCACCTTCCTGGTGGGTGGTATCAATGCCCCTCTACTTGAGTTGATCGTGGAAACATCTCATGATAGTGTCTTACCTCCCCCTTTCCCAGAATACAGGCAGTGTTCAACTTTTCATCTTTCTGTGCTTCTAACTCCTCTCAGGATAGTATAACCTTCCAGATAAACAAGAAATAAGCCCTTTTCTTCTAAGGTCTTCAGGGTCAAGAAGAAGTTCAAAACTACACTGGACTCTCTCCCACTCAAACTCAGTGTAAATGAGAATGAAACTCCACATACAAGCCTGCTTTCTTTTGAGCTAGGATAAGTGCTTTCAATTTCCATGCAGTAAAAGCTGACTGTCTCGCAGTAGCTACTGTGGCTGCATACTCAGCAGGGCTGGATGCTATGAAAAGGGAGCTGCCAAGGGAGCGGGTTCAGCAGTGGGTGACACGGAGAAGCAGCATCCATGACCTGCTGGAGAGAGTGCTAGATGCTGTTGGTTTGGATCTTGATGTTGAAGACCAGCTAATCAGACCTAGTGCTTCTCTGCTGGCAGTTGAAGTGGTCCTATTTTACTGTTCTGGTCCACGATTGACATCCTGAGAATACTCCAGAGCTTCAGGAGCTCCAGGAGCCTTCTCTATCTGCTGGCACCTGACCTCATTTCTGCCTGTGCTGGAGGCATTGAGAAGTTGTTTGGATTTTTGCAGAGCTGTAAAAGGCTCTAGGATCACTTCATTATTACTAGTTAGTTTCTAAATAGGCTTGAGTGACTCAGGAAATGGATATAAATGACCTGCTAGGGGAGAAGAAAAGGAGGCAAGTACAGTGGTGTTTCAGCTGCAAACATGATGGGGTTGAATTACTCTGGTCTTCAAAACTAGCTTGGAGTTAAGAGCCCTTGTGTCTACTTTTCCCTCTTCCTCCTTTTATTTTGTTCATGTGGCATAGGAGGAGAAAGAAAAGTTGTTTGCACCATTAGATATATAACACTATCATTCTGATAATGATGTTCATACTTTCATACTCAAAGTTCACACTCAAAATTTCATACTTTGAACTTCTATACCAAGGTGGATAAGAGCACCTGTAACATACCCATCTGTGAGTTCAAATGCCTTTTTCCTCATGCCTGCAAGGTGAAGCTGCCTCTGATAGCTTAAACAAGCTGCCTTTTGGTAGCATTTTCACTGGATTAGTAGGGGTTTTGAGAGCTGTAATACCATAGCATCATGCTTGACAGTAAAAACTAAGGTAGATGGTTTTGGCTCCCACGATGGCTCTGTTCAGAGCCTGGCTAGGCACTGGTCTGCTTGCAGGAGGTGCTATTTCCTTTGCTTCATTTTTATTTCTTTCCTTTGCCTATTAAACTGTCTTTATCTCAACCCATGTATTTTCTCACTTTAAATCTTCTTCTTTTCTTCCCCTGCTCCACTGGGAATGGAGGAGTGAGAGAGCAGTTGTACGGCTGCTGGCCAGGGCCAGCCCACTATGTGAAACAGAAAAAAATATTATGATGATATGCTTATTATGATAATGATACATTTTTTTTAATGAAGAATCTTTGTTTGGAGGTCACCAAATAGGAACAGTGGGATATATGGATTAGAGGTGTGAGTTACATCAGAGCGATTTGTGTCAGCAACTCAGGGGTCCTAGTGATCTTTGCACTTTGCGTGGAGATGGAATCCCTTGTGATCACTGTGCAATGTGCAAAGGGTATGATAAGTGTCCCTGTCAATACGATAGTGAGGAGGAAGAAGAAACAAGGGAATAATTCCCCTGGGTCAACCGCAATATTGTGTAAAGAAATGTTTTGTTCATTGTTTAAATTGCATAAATGTTCTTAGAAAATGGGGGGATAGGTAACTTAGAGATATGTCCTGTTACAGAACGTTGTGAAATCTGTGCGCTGAACAAATAAACACATAAGGAGTGGAATTTATGGGGGCTAAGATGGCGGTCAGACCTGTGATAGACATAATATTTCTTCACCTGGAGACAAGACCCCAGCAACAGGTGAAGAAGCCCGGGAAAAGAAGGCAACAGGATTGGCTGAAACCCAAGAAGCCTGGGAAACCAAAAAGTATAAGAGACTATCCCCTGAAGTTCCCTGTGTGCGTCTTGGGTGGAGCGGAGACTCCCAGGCGCACCAAGCGCTGCTTGCTTATTGTCTCTCGATATTAATTATAATAAAAATCAATTAAAACAGATTGGCTAGATTTTTATAACGGAGGGCACAAGGAATTTTACATAAATGACTGTTACTGCTAGCAAATCCTGGGATCCTAGGATCTACCGTGATACTCTGGGGCCTCCATTATCTTAAGGGCTACCAGGCAGTCAGGCAAAACTGGACAGAAGGAATCAAATTACACTGGTGACACTGCTAGTTTTATCTTTGTCCTGATCAAAACCTGGCATAAGCATTTTTGTTTTCTTCCAATCACACCCTTGCCTGGTGGGAATCATTTCACTTCCTCAACACTATTACCTTTCTGTCTTCTCTCTCTGCCTCCCCAAAATAGGATGGATGGTTCATACCGTCTTCAGACTCAGCAGGAAGATTTTCAAACGTCAGTGTTTCCATTCCAGCAAAACATAAGGCAATTAGGGATACAGTTTAACTGCTTTCCTTCCTTCTTCCTGCTGCTTAAGTATTTGAAAGAATTTCAACACAGGCTGTCCCAGTAGGGACCTGAACACTGACAGTGTATTTTAGGATATAGTGTTATAACAATGAGCCAGGGTTTAATTAACCTTCCAGCTCTTTGGGAGACCTGAGAGAGAGGATCCAGTGCCTCCCCAAACCACTGCTGCTTCTCTTGCAGTTACTGAACACGTTAATGTCTCTGATCCTGTACTTAGAACTACAGCTATATTTTATTATGGTCAAGTTAAAGTGATAAATATTTTACAGAGATAATGAAATTCTTTATCCTGCCTTGCAGAGAATATAATTTAAACAAACCAGTAATAGAAAAGCTGGGGGAAAAAATAATGAAATACAGGAGCAAAGATGGGGTATGATGTTGACTTCCCCTTTTGCTTGATACCTGTGCCATGTGGGTTTGTGCTTCACAACACATGAAATATGACAGAAGGGGACAATAAGAAATTTAACCTTTTCTTTACATTAACCGATACATGTGTACAATATACACATATGGCAGATCTGAAACCGTTTCTTTCTCTGGAACAATTCCCACCTTTCAAGTCAGACTTCATTCCTGGTCTAGGAGGGGGAGTTACCAAAACCCACAGAAACTGCCCATAAAACTAGCCTAACCCAAAACAAGCCATGTAACATGATTCCTCCAGAGGAGGCCACAGAGGTGATGAGAGGGCTGGAGCATCTGTCCAATGGAGACAGGCTGAGACAGCTGGGCTTGTTCAGCCTGGAGAAGGCTCAGGGGAGACCACAGAGCAGCTTCCAGTGCCTAAAGTGGGTCTACAAGAAAACTGGAGAGGGACTTCTTACAAGGTCATGTAGCGATAGGACAAGGGGGAATGGTTTATAAATTTAAGGTGGATTTAGATTACATTTGGGAAAAAAATTCTTATTGTGAGGGTTAAGAGGCACTAGCACAGGCTGCTCAGGTAAGTTGTGGCTGCACCATCTCTGGCAGTGTTCAAGGCCAGGCTAGACAGGGCTTGGAGTAACCTGGTCTAGCAGGTGTCCCTGCCCATGGCAGGGAGATTGTAACTAAATGATCTTTAAGGTCTCTTCCAACCCAAACTGTTCCATGATTCTATGATTCATGTTATCCTGACAGGACTGCATGACTATTGGGTGTATAAATCTCTAAGTCATGAGCAAAAAGAAACATCACAGCAGAACAACTGTAACTGCAAAATTTTGATGGTGAAAATCTTAAATTCTCTATGATACCTTTCAAATCCTGTTGCAGAGAGAAGTGGTGAAATGAGCACAAGTCCTGTGGCTGCAAGATTAGAGTGCATATACAAAGTAAAAGTTGGAAGAATAGACATCAGCTGTTGAAACAGTTAGTGAGGTGCAGTTAAAATTAGCCAGAAGAGTTGAGTCTACATTTTCAAGTGTAACAAGAGAGTTTGTGCACGTTGTTTCAGATGAGGGACCATTTTTTCTGAGGTTGCTTTTCCTGCTAGTAGTGTGTTCTCACACACGCAGATCCCTGTTCCTGTACACATCCACTTAAGGAAGTCAATGGCATGTGCTATGGCCATGTTCAGCCAGCATGCCTCTGATGGCTTTGTGCAGAAGCCAGACTGTGCAGTACTGTTGAAAGATTGTTGTGCACTTCTGTCCACATCA